GGCCTAAAGTAACTCTGGTGACGCGCTTTCTCTCTAACCAATCAGAGAGCTCCTTACATCACTGCATAGCTCACATTCCTCCGTCAGGTTGCTTCTACTGGAACGTCCTATGACTCAGCAGAACCAATAAAAGGAAAGTAAACTGCAAAGTAAATTTTTATTGCAAACATAAAAATATGATCCCTAATTTAATTTTGAAGTTTACTTATTTTTAAAACTACATTAAAAAACATTTTGAAAATCCTGAAAAATATCAGAATTTTACTTTTATGAATGGGGTTTTTAGTGAGTTATTGTTTTCCACCTTTTTCATTTGAAAGCAGTGCTCCACATTTCACATTTTTTGGATGTGAGTTGTTTCAAACTGTAGACACAGATCTGTCTGTTTAAATGCTGAATAAGAAGAAACTGTATGACAAACCTGGCTAAAGAAAGATCCACTATCAAATATCACGAATCAATACTCGAGAATCACTTTACTGACTCATGAATCATGATTCACAAGCCCAACTGACTCACTGACTCATCCCTGTTGCTGTTAGCAGCAATGTATCTAGCTTATAATTAAAATTGTGGAGAAAAACACAACATCCAGTATCTTAACAAAAACTGCTCTGAACTGGAAGAAAAAACCCTGAGTAGAAGCTCACATCAAGAAAATAGCTCCTCCGTTCACAGTAGCATCGCTCTGCTAACATGCTAACAACACATTTGAGCTACTCACCCCCTCCCTCCTGTGCTGAATCATAGAGCGAACGAATGCTCACTCACTCACCCCCTCCCTCCTGGCTCACAGCTTCTTATTCTTCTTGGTTGGCAACCAATGTTAAGATTTTTGCTCTTTTTTGCTCTATAAAATAGTTGTTTTCTTTTAGAATCATTCATCTTAGCAGTAGGATTTACATGAAAAGAGAAACAAATTAAGTTTGAGTGAAAATGTACATTTTTTGCACTCTCTGGTCAACTGACTCAGTGAATCAAATGACTCAAAAAATCGATTCACTTTGGTGAGTGACTCATTAAAACTCGATTCAGTAAAAAGAATCAAATTTACCATCACTACTGTAGTGTAGTTCACACCTGAACATAGTCCTTGTTCTAAGCCAGGCTCTTCCTTCCTGGCTCTGCTCTTCTCATTGAATCAAAGTAAGAAACTCCACGAGGACAGACTGCAGTTTTCTCATCTTTGCTCAGATCCAAAATCCAAACAAATCAAATCCACAGCAGGCTGTAACTGTCAGATTAACAGAATCCAGACTGTCCTTTAAACTCTGAAAACCTCAACAAATGATCACAAGTCATTATGTTGTTATCATGTTTTGCTGGGCGACCTTGAGAGTGAATTGTTGTTTTTTTCACAACAGTCCTCTCACATTCAAACTCTAAGCTTAATTCTATGAGTCAGGCCAAGCACAAGCCATGTTTGTACAGTCCTTGCCTTCCACTTTGACCTAACAGTTTTTGCATGAAATGTAACTAGTGCAGACAGACAGAGTCAGGAAATCATTGTTTTAAATCCCTGACTTACAAAAGGGATCAACATTCTTTCCCAGTTCAGCTACTAAAGTTTCAACAAATCTGTTCTTTATAAATTATAATAAATTATTTGTAGACAGTGATCCTGCAGCGAGAGAGACATTAGTTATGGATGTCTCATCGTCACTAAAGAGAAGCTTACAGTAAAAGACGCTGCTCTTCTTTTAGATGATAAATCTGTTTTCAGACGACTGTTTCCAGCTGCTGCTCTCTAACTGGTCCACACAGCAGCTCAGACCTGACATATTCACTGTAAACACACTGGTTTATATTCTGTTTGTTCTCCTCATGATGTTACCCTCATACAACCACACTTTGATGAGTGTTCAAAGGAAACAGGAAACACTGTAAAGTCCTGTTGTGCTGCTCAGAGAGTCACGGTCATCAGGCTGGAGCAGCTGAGCCAATCCTGTGATAAGCAGCTGCTGGTTAACCAACCAGAGAAAGTGGAGTTAGATTCAGTTTACACATCTGCTCAGTGTGGTTTGTTTGAGTCCAGCTCAAATTATTCAGCTTCAGTTCAAGATTATTCATGAAGCACCAGAAAACAACAACCATCTGAAGGCTCTTTTATAATAAAAAAAACATTATAAACAGAAAATCCCTGAAAACTGCATGAAATGAGTCAACAGGTCAGAAAGTTTCTGATGAAAACAGATTTATTGTTACAGAAAGAAAACTAAACAAGATTCCTGCTCATAGAAATAAATATATTACATACAGTGTGCAATAACAGAGTTAAGAAGTGCGTGCAGTGCTTAAAGCTAAATATAATAAACATTAGAAGCTTCTGTGATATAAACATGAGTGTTTTATGTGTTTAAAGTGAAGCAGCAGGTAGTTTGATATTAGCTCAGCAGGAGGTCGAGAGCAGGAAATAGCAGCTACAGCTCACAGTATAAAGACAAGTTTAGTCTGATAAACTAAACTTCTTATGAAGACTTCAGCTGGTGTTCATGGAGGTTGATGAGCGAGTGAGGAGCTAAAGGCACAACTTTCACTTTGGGACAGTTTTCTACTTCTTAAAA